TCTCTCAATTTCATAAGATGATGGAAGTGAAAAGATCTTCCTATAACGTTATGCACAATGGCTAATTTGAGATTAAATCAAACGTAGTAAAACAGAGCACCGAGGTCATTAACAGTTGGTAGTCGTCTCCGTCATCTAGGGTTATATAATAGTTCCGACATGAGATTTCTTATAAATATTTGGTTCAATAATAACATGTTGATAGCCACATTGTGATCTAGTAAAGATAGTGCCGTTCCCTAAATTAGCAGAAATTTAGTAGGTGTTTTATATGAACTTGCAAGAAGAACAAGAACTTAAAAACAAGGAATTGTTTTTCTGCAAAGTTAATTGATCTGCACGATAAAGTTGCGTTTGGACAGTGACAATTCGCAAAGATCTGGGAATAGCGAAGAAAATAAATTTCTCCGAATAATAAAAGTTTCAAATGTATTAATGACCCGCTTAGGGATAACACACGGATTGTTAAAATCTATTTAATCAATTGACTTAATTTTGATATTATCCAAATAATGCATATTAATTAATTAATTAACTAATCGATTATATCTCTATTAATTACAACAATGGTCGATTAGTTATGATTGAATATCATAATATAATAATCACTTCGGAATTAAAGCGTTGAATAATCGATATCATAATAAATCATTCTGTGAAAACTGTCGAGTACAAAATTCAATTCGATAAAAATATTTCATCATTCTGGGTTAATGTGAATCCCAAAAAACTATATGATGGGTTGTGATCAAGGATTGTAGCGAAAAGCGTGGCATTAAAACAATGCTCGCTCCATGGGATGATTAAATGCGCGCAATTAATGCTCGCAGAGATAACAGATTATTGATGGTCATTAGCCAAGACCAGAAAAATTGATGAGATTAACTACTTTCACACAAACTAGTTGTTGGAATTCAATCACGTTTCTCCTTGTAAACGATATCAATTAATGGTTCTTTTTGGCACGATTGCTTGAGCTGTGCACGTACTGTGTTCACGAGTTCCGGGTGAATGTTTCTTTAAGAGATGTTGAAGTATTGTCTTGAGACTTTTAAAGGAGCATATTATTCTGTCATATCATTGGTCTAACTGTTTTATTGGCAGTTTGAACAGTCTCGCGATCAAAGTTTGGTTGTAAAAGCTTTTGGGGACAAACAACCTAATAAATTAAAAAAAATTGAAAAGGGCAAAAAGGTTATATTTGAAATAATATTTGGACCTCCGATAATTGGGAGAGTCATGGATTATTTTAAAAATGATATATAAATAAAAAAATTAATCCAAGAAGCTTCCAATACAAGCAACCTTATATACATATGTAATACAAAAATTATCATTTGGACGTGTCGACTAGAAATAAGACGCAAACAACCATCGCATAGATTATTTTTACAGTTGGGACTCGTTGTGGAAACGTCATCAATGCAAGGACAGTGGCAAATGATCTTCTCGAAATTTCACCATTCCTCATAGAAACCAATATAATATAAACTATTATAGCCTTTAGTTTCGTAAATTTCGTTAAGGACCAGTCAAGTCAAATGCATTCAATTTTCAAGTAATGTCTTGTCATACAAACTGAGTTATTTATTAAGAATTTTGCAAGAACGTACAAAGTACTGTGAATCTGTGACAACTTCTGAAAGTCATAATTACATCATTTACATGGACCTTTATCTTCGATATATTATTGTGAATATACATAAATTAGCAAAGATATGACTATGTCCTCATATTTTCATCACGCGTCCGCGCTTAGTTAAGTTTGACCACCGATCGGCGATTTTGTAAGGTCACGCTCACACGCAAGATTCATTGAAGCGTTCTTGTTTTATTGCTGAACGCATAACAACTTTTACTAATTCGAACTTTGGAAAACTGGCGCGTATTGTAATATCTATTCAAAGCGATCATTTTCATACATATATAAAGTATTTGGGATTTTCATCTTCTGTTTTGGCATTGTTTGTTCACCTCATTAATTCATTTAGTCGCTGATGCATAATTTTGAGACCGACTGCACTTATTTATAGACCGACTATTCTTTTTCCTCCCCCCACCCGCGCCACACATTTACGCCCCTGGTCCTTATTCAATGCAATACCTGTAATGTGGGTGGTAGACAGATTATGTATCTATCATATTCGTCAATGATGATACGACTGGGCTATCCGGATAAAACAGTTATATTTAACATCATAACATTATAGCTTTCATTGTGTGGCCAATGCAAAATGAACACAGCCCGGTCGCTCTTCGATTTGTCGGTGAATTGCCTGTTCCGCCTCTGTTTCATAATGTACCGTGTTCCTTGTTCTGGATTTCTTTTTTTTGTGGGGGGGGGGGGGGGTGGAGGCAATTAAAATAAAAATATACCGTAAAAATATAATTCAAAACATTCTATTTAGTATCATCGGCTTCCGACATCCAGGCCCAAAAGTAATATAGCTTGGTTGTAGCTATAAAAATTGACAGGTGCAGGGAAAAAGACATGTTTGCACTGTCTAAACATCTGATACCATTTCTCATTTGAAGAGTTTAGATAACTGCAGTCTGTTTTAATTGAAGGTTGGTATTTGATATGGCTTTTAAAAATATAATGGCAGATTTGAATTTTTTTTTTCCTACTACAGACTAAGTTTATCACCAAAATACATTATATTAATGAAATATAATCATACATTTCATGTTCAATGTGTACGCTCTGATAGGCACAGTGGAGTATTGGACCAGGACACAGGACATGTATCGACCGTATACAGACTTAATAAGCGAGTTATTTAATCCAATAAATCCACCTTAATCTAAACATGTAATTTGTGGTCACAACAGCATGGTGACCTACAAAATGTTTCATATAAATCGCATATAGCCCTCAAGACAAATATCCTAGAAGGGTTGCAGTGGCTTAGTGAGTAAGGCGCTTGCGCTGTAACAAGGGGGTCTCTTGGTCACTCCAAGGTGTTGGTAGAGAAAGTTCCTCTGGATTTTCCGGCGTGGTTTCTCCTTGCCAAAATTACGTCGTACATAGTGCATAGCGTATACCCGTCTTCATTATCCCTGTTGTGGTGCAGAAAGGTGGACTGTTAAACCCACTTCATTTCATTTTCAGTGTCATAGGCTATACTGACTAACCTATAATGTTCACAGAACTTCAGATCTGTGAGAACAAGATCATTTTATTCTCCCCTTACACAAAAATAAAAAGATTGAAATAAAGAATAGAAGAGATACGAAGAGTTGTATATATAGGTGCGAGATAGTAAAGGCTTTGTGTGTGTGTGATATTTTGATGTTTTGGCTTTAAGTAGAAGCACATTAGTAGCATCTACTTTTCTAATATAAAATGGATTCTATTATATACGACACGACGGGCAAAACAGTGAAATGCATATTGCACACAAAATAATGAAAAAAAGACATCCAAAAACTGGTGTTCTATTCAATTAATAATGGGGTATTTCGGAATTCCAACTCTAAGGTTCTTTTTATGTGCACGTCAATTTCACCACATCCTTGTCAGGCTGAAAAATTCAGAAGAACTGTCATGGCTAACGCCGGAATCGAACCTACGTTAGTGAGGTAGCCCCTTACTCACTGAGCCACCGTATATATATACGTTTAAGTGTTGTGTTGAACTTATACTGTATTTTGGGACATTCTTATTGGATACGGCAATCGAGATTTGCAAGAAGCTTGGTGAGGGTCTGTGATATATTAGCTTTATTGTATGGGAGCAATCTAAAGACGTATGGTGGGTGACTGAGGTATGGAAATACTTGCGGTTGGGACGTGGGGGGGGGGGGGCACACCCACACACACATTCTGGCTACCTCATTGAGTCCACGGCCTATTAGGCGATAGAAGGCAATGGAAGTGGAAGTCTAAATTTTAATGTACCAACCCTTTTTGATCTGATTTCTTGTATTTTTTTTATATTGAAATGCTCAACTAGTTTTCTTAAAAGAAAGTTTGATTATTTGATTAAGCAAATGAAATATTAAAAAATAGGGTCATTTACATTTGCTCATCTCTTATACATTTAAAAAGTGAACATTAATAGGGTTGGGTTTAGTTATTTGAAATCAAATGAAATATTAAGGAATAGGGTCATTTACATTTGCCCATATCTCATACATTTAAAAAGTGAACATTAATGGGGTTGGGTTTTGTTATTCAAAATTTCACCCACTGTGTTTAATATTGACATGTTTAGACCTATATGTTTGACTATGTAGGTGTTTTAGGTGAAGCGTTTCAATATATAAAACCGCACCCGTTATTGCACCCATTTATAAATAATATAATAATCCGTTACATAATGTAAGTCGTCTTAACCCAGTTAAATGTACATGTATTTTAGATCAACGCCCTTTTGAATTAAACTCGACTAAATTTGATGGGCTAAATTGACAATTGGTCTTGTGTCCATATTTGTTTCCTGATAGGGCCGGTGACAAAAAATAACGGATTCTATATATTTTCTTTTCGATTGTCTATTGATATATATATCTTAAACACTGGGCAGAGAATAAAGATTTGTGTAATTCGCATTGAGATATCACAGCTGCCCGGGCAAAAATTTACAGCTCTGCTTTCAAGCACTTTATAAAGGATATAAATGGTCTATAACGAATGAATGGTGGTACACAATCATGTAATTTCAATAATTTTAAACTTGTTTGTGTTTACATTTTGCTTCTTTCGTTTAAGCGTAATTTTTATGCTTATACTTTGAAGCTTGAGTTGTAGCCTAGCCTAATAATATTAGAAACTTTATAAATACTAGTAAATTTATATAATCAAAAGGAATAAATTTAACTATAATTTATATAACACCAATGAATAAAATGTAACTTCAGATAATTTGAATCAATAATCAATCAGATTAACGAATTTATGTAGGCCAACCGATATTTTGGAAACATTGTACGACATTGTAGCCAAATCATCCAATCAATGTCTATGATTTGATCACGTGGACCGTGATTATCAAAGGGAAGCAAGTCGACGAAGAGCGCCATCACTTCAATCATGATTCGCTGATAGAGAACATGGTTAGTGTGTTTATTTATTGTGTATTTGGATAATGTATAAGCACTTTTTACACTTCTAAATTAAAACATGGATTACAATATTCAACAGACGACCGAGAAGAGTTTTATCGAGGATAATTAGCAGATTTATACAGTTTATCGGATATTTTACATAGTGGCAATCTCGTATTCCATTCATATTTATTGTGAATGTGAAGAAGCCAGTTTGATTTTGTGATTTATAAATATATACGGCTTCAGTTTTGATTATACCTGTTTCTATTATAAACATCAACATGGACACTGGAATAGCAATCGAGAAAGAGTGTGGTGCCCTCGGTGGATTGTTCCAAACCATCATAAATGATATGAGGGTAGGTTGTACAGTTTTATGTTTGTTTTGACTTGGCTAGTGTGGAGAGCTGACTGGGAGAGTGTGTGTGTTGTGAGAAAGGCAGTCAGCATGCAGTGAACATCATGTGGCTTTTCAGATTAGAACTGTTGATCATACAAATCAAATACACATATTACATGTACTCATAAATATTTTCATGTATAACAAAATGAAGGTTGAAGTTAGGATCATGTAAATATTTGTAATTTTATGTGGCAAGCCCTGTAGACTTTGCTAACCCCGGGCTAATGAAGACGGGTATACACCATTGATTTCTAATAATAAAATGTGGGAAATTTTGCCTTGGCAGCAATCCCTGCGAGTGTGTCCGTGGTCTCAGCTGCCCCCCCCCCCTCCCATGGGCCCTGATTTTCAGCAGTGGTGACCGAGTTCGAATTTCAACTGTCTCAGGGTTATTTTATATGCACTCAAGACCATGGTTTTATGTCCTATCCAAATGACTATGCACTATTCCTGACGATGCTGTTTGTTTGCAACACTGACACAGGTGAAACCACAACAGAAAATCTCAAACTTTCTTGGTAAACAATGGGAGCAAACCCAGAATCTCCATTCAATTAATTACTGAGATCCTGTGTCCTGTGTGCAGCATGAATACCCTGAACAGAATTTAAAATCAGGTCGATTGTTGTGCCACTGTCCGGACAAAATTTCTCTCATGTCATCATAGCACACAGTCTGGCATATGCCTGTCTTCATTAGACCAGTTACGGCTGAAAAGTAAAACATTCAACGCCATTTCATTTGATAATATAAACCATCCACTCCTAATTTAACTACCAAATAGGACATGATCATCATGCCTTAATTTACATGTAATCTCCACACCCATATACAATGTACAGGTTGGTGGACAGGTATGCACATTGTTTAAAGGTGCAGCAATAACATAACGTAAGCACACTAATTTAAAATTTTGTACTTTTTGTAGATTACTTTACTTAAATGTATACAGTCAGTTTACATTAAGTACATTTGCCGATGATAAAAAACTGTATTTATCTCACATAAACACATTTAAGAAGTAGCCTAACATTAATTACCAGTACCTAATAGAATCAATGTCAGATAAAACATTTTGGCTCTGATTCTGAAATATGGCTTAAAAGTATCATATATAAAAGAATTAATAGGCAATAGGCATGATTCGACGCATCCATACTGGTAATTGTAAAGATGTAGAATAAAGAGGAATGTTGGTAAGCGTGTTGTGCTTGTAGTGTGAAGAGTTCCCAGGAATATAAGTATAACTAACCAGGTGTGAAATAGAGATTGTGTCAAAGAGTATACCGGTAGTTAGATATATTACCTCAGCTGGTAACTCATACTATCAAATATCAATAACTCCTAAACCCCTTTATAAAACACTATTGTCAAGGTCTAGTACATCTACATGTAATAAACATATCAAAGGTGATAACATACAATTTTGTTTTTAGAATTATTCTTTTTAACTGCATTATGAAATGATTATGTCCATTTGGCCAATCTACATGTCAACTTATTCATCATAATTGCAAAGTAAGTGTACATGTATTTCCCTACCTTGTAATGACATACCTGCACATTAAATACTATATGTACATGTTACAAAGGTAGGGAAGTACACTTCCATGCAATTTTGATGAATAAGCTGACATGTAATGTGTGCATTTTACCATTGTCAAATTATTTTTTTAGTCTGTATATTAGATCTTTGACTATTAAAAGCATACACAAAAAACACACCTTTATTTTATGCATTATACACAGATATTTTTTTCAAAAACATGTGGGTGGACCAAGAAGCTATTATGGTTTATGTTAAACAGCATGGACTATAGATTGCTGTAGGTTTTAAAATCCCCTTAATGTTTTTAAAATGTTTCCCATTCTTTAAATTAAATTTGTTTTTGTTAACTTGAAATGAAGTACAAGTATAAATACGAAACAAATTTTGGATTTAGGGATCATATGTGAGATTCATATGAAGTTCTTCAATTGATTACAGTACCTAATAGTCCTAATACATTGTTAATGTTACTCAGAGACAGAGTTCAGACTGAATTTTCCATTTTAATGTATGGATTATGTATTTTATAGTGTTGTTCAACAAGTTGTGCAAGATTCGTTTCAGTATCATAACTCTTTAGTCATGTACATGAACAAATTGAGTCTAAGTCTATTTTGAAGTTTTATATTTCAAATTTGTTACATATATTTACTTGGTGAAAGTAGTAATTTCTCTTTAATGATTCAACACCATATCTGTGAAATGCCTTTTCTATAACAATTTACGAAGTATCTTGTTTAAAAGAAAAATTTATGCTCTCCAGTGTACCGGGTACATGTATAGTAATATTTAAATTTTAATTGCTCTATTAAAACCTTTATGGCACACCAAATGTTCTTTTATTGTCATGTCACCAAGGTGATGTACAATTTAATGATGTGGAATTTTCTTAGATAGTGAAATAATTAATTCAACACTTGAAAAATTTGATGGGATCCTTTTAAATCCTATGGCTTTTTGTGAATAACGAACACGGCCAGATTGTTTACATTGGGTTGAGCTGGTCCCAATTTTGTAAACTTCATGATTTCATCATTCATTTGTGAATGAATTAACATTACAGTATTATATTAATGATACAATGTACACCCCTACATATAAATATCCCTATTCAAAAAATGGCGGCCTTTTTAAAATTAGTAAAACTGTTGGTTGACTACCCTATATTGAATGTCAAGCCAACAGCTGTTGTTGAGTTAAAGAAACATTTTATAGAGGAGATGACTATATAAAAGAAAGTTCTTTGTGTTTGTAGTTGAATAAGCATCTTGTAGTTGAGGGGATTTTAATAGGATCAGTCATGAATATTATTTCGTTATCTTTTCAATTTAATACACTCCATTTGTAATTTTAAAAACATGTATTTAAATTAAAATAAGTCACCATCGTTGATGTAGAAAGTTCAATCTGTCTATTGATTCATGTGTTTGATAAACAGTGAAGTACAACTATCCAGAAAAATATACAGTACACAGATTGATTATGTACAAACAAAAAAGGCTTTTTTTTAAAACTGCTTAGAAGGTTAGGCCTGACATGTATCTTGTTGCACACAAAATAAATAAAGAATATAAAATAATACCCCTTAAAATATTCAAAAATTATTGTGCATGTAAAAAGTACATGTATATCTATTTTCAGGCCTGGAAATAGCAATTTAGTTGTACATGTAAGCCTACATGATATACATATATAACTGACAAAACTTAGGTCACTGTTGACCTGATAGCTCACATTTTGAACTTTGTGTGGGAGGTGTATACATATAATAACATGATTAAAAACGCAGAAAAAAGACAAATCAGTGCCAGACAAAATGACTGTGTTTTGTTTTATAAATCTACAAATTACAAGGTGAAGCTAACATCTGCAAACAAATATCACAATTCAGAAAAGACAGACAATATATGACTTTTGCACAGGCTTGTTTATATACTGGTACACAAAACATTAGTGTCAAATGTCTTGCATTGGTAATACATGTATGACATGAAAATATGACAAAAGTACCCTGATGTTCATAACTTGTCATTAAATGTACAGGTAACAATAGAATATTGTAGAAATCATTTTAATATTATAGACATTTAGTGTCCTGTAAAATTTATAACATCTGAGTTAAATAAATAGTAGCAAGAAATTTATAGGCTTAGTGTCATATTTTGTCAATTGTCACAAGAAATTAATATGGAAGCTTTATAAATGCATGCCAGATCAGATCAAGAGGTATATTTTCTTTATAGCAGACTAAACTCCTTCATTTCATCTAAGTCCCCTCATTTCATACATTAGGTACAGACTAAACCCCCTCATTTCATACATTAGGTACACCAGACTAAATCCCCTCATAATGTACATTCGGTGGACTGGACCAGACTACACCCCCTCATAATGTACATTAGGTACGCCAAGCCAGTTTACTCCCCTCTTCATTATATGTAGATACATGTATGCCATACAACACCCCTGTAGCTCTACATGTACATGTAGATACATATACACCAGACTACACCCCGCATTCAAATCATCATTTCATGCAATGTTTCAATGCTCTTACAGGTATCTTTATCAAGCAACACAATGTTATTTACAATACATTATAAGGATCGTCATAAACCATTACATTTCCTCATGAACCAATAAATAAAATCAGAAATTCTATTTATTTGGATGGCCACTCAATAATTGATATCTTTAAAGAGTAGATATGTTTGGGAAAAGCATTTTCTGGACCTGTGATGATAGCATAATAAAACCTTTGACTTGGAATAGACAGCTAATCAAATATCTAAGCATTTCTTTAGATTTTGTTCTGTATCAGAGGTTTTGATTGGTAGGTGGAATTGGAATTGTCAAATCAAAATCTACACATGTATACATTTATATCACTGAATGAACACTATATGTAAAGAAATGTCATTAGACCAAGTGAAGTGGTGTAAACAACCTATCAATACACAGAACAGAATATTGTAATCATTTTCATTATATTGGGTTTTGTTTGATTGCATTTTACTTTCATAGATGACCAAGTTATGTTACTTACATGGATATACATGTGAACAATTGATTTAAAGCTGGTTCAATTTGAACAGTTTATATATAAGAATAACTTTGATAGCCTGAGGGCTTGTCTATGCACATGTCATACAAATGTACATGTAGGTACTGGTCACTGCCCACATTGTAAGAAGTGTAAAGGTGTTTGGTCAGTTGAATTAGATGTTAGATTTATCATGTAGTAATAGACAAACAAGTGAGCAGATTGCCTCAAGCAACAGGTAAACTTATAGACACCACTTATAGAATAGATGTGTTACTTATCTTTCCTCTCTTGTTGATTTTATGTCTTACTAAATCATATCTACCACTGATAATATTAAAGAGGAATTATCACTTTGATGGTCTTCTCCTGTTGGTGGGAAAATAAGTTTCAATTTGAAAATCAGTTACATTGTGCATGTTCAAATTAGATTGCACATCTATTCAAAATGTGAAACAGATCTGCTGAGCCATATAAGGGTTTTGAATGGTCATCTGAAAAAAGACTACGGGTACATATTGTATTAGTATCAATATAATTGTGGACATAAATGATGTTAATTTTATGGGAGTACACTACAGTGTACATGTCGTGTAGTAACCATACATATTGCAGTAAACATAAGATTATGTCAGTCTCAGTAATAATATAATTGTACATTGTTGCCATAAAATTAGACTGGCCCGGAAATGACAATACAGTGTAACTGACATAACTGTACATTTTGGCAGTGCATTGCCATGTAAATGTTAGTTTCAGATTGACAGTAGATTACATGTATTTTGTACAGTAGTTAACATAAGATTATGTGAATGATACATGTAGTATGTACTTACCTTACCCAACAGGAGTTTAGATTTAAATTGTGTTTAGTGACCACAGGAAATATTGCTAATTTCATCAATTTATGTTTATTTGTTTGGTTATTGTAATGTCATGTTTTCTTCTGTCATGTAACAGCTATTGCCATATATCAATATTACTGTGTTGTAGAATGGCTTGTTATTTTGAGTAGAAATAAATGTTCATGTTCTCACAAATACGAATACAGATAGGCACGAATACAGATAGGTTTAAATCTTGTACAGTAAACATTTTATTTTTGCATGTGTAATATTTGAAAAATAAAACATAACATATATGATAATTATTGTGTATTTATACACACACACATCATGTGATGATTTAACTTTGATCAAGGTTGAATTGGATCTCAACAAAAATATAAGAATTGTATCGCATCTACATGTACATGTACCTTCCATACTTCAAATGAAAATGTCCTTTTGGGGGGCAGCCTTATAGTCAATGTGCTATTTTAAGTGTTTTATTTCTGGCAGCTTTATTGATAGAATTGAGCTCTGATGCTATTAAATAATAGAAATGGACAGATCCTCTCAAAATAGTCTTCTTAAGCTCTGACTTCCAGTATAGAGTCTATATATATGTAGAATAAAGCCGATTGTCTTTTCTTTGTTATTGTGAGGATTGAAGACTAGTAGATATTAGGTATCTATGTGACAAATGGTTGGTTAGTGATAACAGACATTGTAGTAAATGTTACTAGTGTTTCTTATATCTATATTTACCTAGAGTTTACTACTATAAACAAACTGTTGACATTTATATTGTTAACAAAAACTACAAGTCGCCCAAAGTCACATACTACTATTCTCAAATTTGTTTGACTTCTACTACTTTTACCAAATTATTCTAAATTTTTATGTCAGAGACATGATTCGATACATATGTCTCTGAAATTTTAAACCAAAAAAGTTATTCAGTTTTGTATGTACACTAGTACATGTATGATTTTAGCCCTTCCTTGAACACACCAAGAAAGTTGACGATGAGAATTGAGAATGCAGTTCTACTCTCATGCTAGAAAAGTTTCTCGATTTGCTGTTAACATACATGTAATCCAATTGCTATCATTGCAGCTTCCTTGCTACCCTAGCCAATGTTATAGTCATAGAACATTATCGAAATCAGACTTTCTTTGATAACAGTCATAAATTTGAAAATCTTGTTAACAAAAGTGGGGGAGATGGTTAAATTTTACTCTTCTGCACCATTTCTAACAGTGGATGTATGAAGAAATCCATCTATTTATTATGGTATATGATGGGTTGGACCATTACAATGATACAGTTGTTGATATTGATAGAACGATCCCACAGTCCGTCTAGCTAAATATAGCTTTTACAGTCAGCTGATCTTTAAATAGTTTAATGGAGGAAGCTGGGATGTGTGTTCAAGATAGACTGGTTTTCTATTTAATGGCACTATAACCCTACTGTAGATTATATTAAAGTATGGTTTACTGATAATATATTTAACACGTCACCTTAGTCTATATACAGGAAGTAATTATATCTACCTGTAACAAGGATAATCTTATAAATCATCAAATGTATAGAATGGCATTATCTTACCCCTTATTGGTGTTCTGTATCTGATTATCAGATAGGATTAATCACAAATTTTAAAACATTAGACTTTCTGGATAGGGTAAAAACTTAAGAGAATTAATATATGAATCCTCTTCTAATATATCCCACTAAATTAGAGAAGCATCTGCATATTGAAATATTATGAAGCATCTGCATAATGAAATATTACGAAACATCAATCACACTATGATATTTCAGTGGAAAATATTCTATCTATATATACATTCTCTATAATAAAAACTAATAAATTACACATTCTGTAAAAAATACTAAAATACACATTCTTTAATAAATACTCAATCTGAGTAAAACACAGATCCTAATTCGTTTTTATAGTTCAAAATTTAGTTTTACTTTTCTACACTACACTAGGCTCTGGAAGGTTGTTATATTACCGGCGTTTTGGCTGAAGTGAGGGATAAGCCAATGAAACGGTCTGTTACGGCGATTGTGGGTAAACCACTAGATACGTCAACGCTGATTGATTAATCAATGTCTGACGAAATAGGGAATGGTCAAAAACTGCTCGTGTGACCCCTGACACGACCTACATGTACCAGTACAACTTGTCAGATCTTCATATAGTGTAGGCCATCGAAAGTATAAAAAAACAAAACGAAAAATATAGAACTGTATTTTAATCGGATAGATTAATACTAAAATACACATTCTGTAATAAACATTAAAATACACATTCTGTGATAAATACTAAAATACACATTCTGTAATACACTTTAATACACACTTGTAAAAGGTACCTTTATTAATACACATGGAATAATTTGATTAGATCAGTATCAATCTACACATTCACAGAAATATACACCAGATAATAAGTAATGTATTGAAGGTATATCAGCTATAGATAAGTACATATATGTAAGGAATAATAATATCTGACAAGCTTATCAATATTTATTAACAACCAGGCAACACATTATTATTGTATTATGTATGTTTTAATAATGATAAACAGTGAATCAACATAATTATGTAACTGTACTTATTATTGAATTATCCAATGATGTTTTATGGTGCTGTTCTGTGGATAGTAAGGAGGAGAGTTGATTAAAGGGTATTATTGTTATTTTTTCAGGGCAGCTCACCGGTATGGGAAGATTTTACATGTAAAGCTACAAAACTAAATTCCACATTAAAGTAAGTTTAAATATGTTTTTTTTTTTATATTCATGCACTAGTCTTGCAGAATAACCAACAGAAATCTTCAGGAATTTTGCCCTAATCACTAAATGATAATAGTATCCCCCTCCAAATTGATACAAGACATAAGTAATTTAACATTTCCAATTTGCTACTGACTGTAATATTATTTAATTCAAGATCTAAAACAGATTTATGTGTTAAGAAGTATAGTATACATGTATTACATGTATCTACATTTTGTAATCTTATCTACATGTATTTATTGACCACAGGTAGACAGATTGACCTACATGTATATAATGAATATAGGTCTATGGTATTAGTCTGGTTTTACATTTACCTTTAAGTATACCTAACACACTATTATTATCTGTCATTATTGACATGATAACTACAGTTTACAGGGGTCTATTATATATATAACCTATATGACACAAACCATTTTACACTGTGTCACTAGGCATACTGTCCATCAGTACTAATCTAACCTCGTAATAATGTGATCAGTGACCTGTTATGTTGTTACACAAATCATTATGGAAGGCTTTACAATGTAGCCCCCCATAGCCTCAATTTATTTTAGTTGGAAAATTGAATAAACTGAACCAACTATGGTATTACTATTTCGTATTACCAATGAGATCAATGAGATGAAATGTAAGAAACAGCTGTAGGAAAAAGACAGAAAATATCATGCACAGTGATTGTATTCATTTTCAAATAAATTTTGATATTTAAGCTACATTTTGAAACTGATAAAGAATTGACTTTAATTATGCAAAGAAAGATACTTTAGTCCTGTAAACCAGTTGATTCTCTCGTGTTCATAGTAGCTAAGTCTCTAACTCAATATCATCCAAAGTCTTCGACATTGAAAACACAAATTATTTGTTAATTTAAAGAAGCTAAATCGCTAATATCTGGGACCTAGAAATTGACAAAAGTGGTTATTCCAGTCTACGCCGATAGTATTTATTGCGCATGCTCTCCAGAGAAGAATATGGAGTCACCGTTTGACATGACTTGTGGTATATGTCTAGCCTTGTTCTTTGAGTCCCCTGTTACAAATAGCGCTGAAACACATTATGGTACACGATTCATGTACCAATGGTAAAAGGTTTTTTTTGTTATAAATATTGGATATCAGAAGCCCATCTTTTCCCGGTAAGATCACAACATCAATGTTGATTTAAGTTGACAAATAATTTGTGTATTCAATGTCGAAGACATTGGATGATATTGAGTTAGAGATTTAGCTACTTTGATTTGTTTCCCTCGTCAGGTCGAATAAAAAAACCCCAAAACTGGACTATGACAAATATGGTAAATATCTCCCAAAGATCTGTTATTAATCTATGAAAGTACAATGCAGTAAATGTATATGTGCACTATTATAATAATTTCCATATTTTCTTTTGCAGAACAACTCTTCTTGCTATCAGTGCTTTTCTAGATGCTTTTCAAAAAGTTGCTGATTTAGCAACAGGATCTAGAGGTAAGTTTTATTTTAAAAAAAACAAAAAAAACTACATGTGCAAAATTTGGAAAGCGGTGAGGTTTCATATAAGTACCGTACATGAATTCATATCTTCCATTGAATATATTTATTATTGTACTTCAAACTTGTGTTTCCTGTCTTGGGACAGTGCACTTGAACTTTACATGTAATGTTTTACCAGCATTTAAAACATTTATTGAAAACAGACTGGATACACGTTTATATATATGTACATAGGGAGGGAAATGACAAAGCAGCTAGAGAACTAGATCTGTAAGCATTCGTTTCCATGCATCTATACTTTTTCTTTGAATATCCCTGTATTCCAGTCTATCTGACTGTAATTGGTTAGGGTAGTATAGTGTAGGGTAAATTTAATATAACATGGAAATTCTATATGATGCAGAGAAATGACCTCTGGAGTGACCACGAATGACATTTATGTACATTGTACCACACACATATATACGAAGTAAAGTATATTTATCTATGTCTTTACAACTGTGATATAGAATTAGTTTATGGTCAGTTAATAAACTAGAAAATATGTTATATGTCACACTACACAGATTAAGGATAAGACCAAAATACATATCCATAGCTTTACTTATCGTTACTTGTACATGTTGTTGACAACTCTACTGTATATACACATGTGGATATTCTTTCGAGATATGTCAGCTGTCAAAAAATATCATCATGATCATATATTGTATACAATCAGATATTTTATATTTTGGTATACATGTATAAATCAGAAAAAAAACATGCAGAAGCTTCAATATGTTCAGTGCATTTTGCATTTCATCAGAGACTTTCCTTTTAACAATTCTGGTTGTAAAATTATTCAAAATCATAATTCCAATTTTCTATGGCCTTTTAGAGTTTACGTGTATATTGGTTTCTGTTGTCACATCGTTATCTTTATAAAATTGCAGGCACATACATGTACATGCGTGCTAATAACTCAGGGCTACCTTTACTGACTATTCTACATTCAAGGGTTTTTTTAATGCTCTGGCCAGATTTGCTATTTTGTGCTTACATAATATCAAACTTTTTGCTTTAAAATAGTACATGTTTTTTAAATGAATTGAAATAAAATGGGGTTTAACATCCTATTTTTCTGCACCGACTAAGCTAATGAAGACATGATATTTTTTTAACTTTGAGACTTAATTATTTTAGATCTAAAATAAATGCAGCAGAATTGCACAACAAGACATACATGTAGACAAAACAAATGATACATGTACCAGGAACATAGTACTAGATATATATTCTCTGAGAAGATAAATACATTAAATATAAAAACCCCAAATACTAACAAAATAAACTTCAGGATTCACTTATTTTGATGGATCTTAAAAAATTGTTGATAATGGAAGTCCATTGTACATGTTGTTGATCTAAGATTAATGATTGCCAGACCACTCTTACTGAAGTATAAAAAGTAGAATGGTTTCTGGAACTTTCCGGTCTTCTAGTTCTTCATGTTTTATTTATCGTCAGACACCATAGTTTTTAAGGTCTAATAAAACACAGACTACATGATATGGTATCTGTTTTATGTTATTTATGTATTGTACTTTTATATTGGTTGAGAATTTTAGAATGGTTTCCTTCAAATAACATTACATGGAACAAGTCAAAATGACTTTAATAATGTGACATTTGAATCAATTTTAAATCAAAGAAATTTGTTTTGTCACAACATTTTCCGATTCCAAGAGATTCATGAATAGGCTATTGGGTATTAGACACACCTCGAGACAAGGAAATGAAACATATGCAATGGCCCCCCTACCGGCCAGTGACTTCAGCTTTAACTTCCACTTTTAAAATCTTTTGGTGATAAAGCCTTCAGTGTATATGGTCCACGACTATGGAATGACTTACCTGACAAAATAAAGTGTTCAGAAACAGTTGCTCAATTTCGATCTAGACTTAAGACGCATATGTTCACGATGTATTATCCACAGAAGCCATTAACTTACAGCGCTTAGAGCATGCTCATGGATGGATTAAGCGCTATATAAATGTACATTATTATTATTATTATTACCCTAGGGTACATTGTACATGTATTTACACTTTATTAGTTTTACTTTGTTTTAAAGTAGTTAAACATGATCTTTAAAGCTATGTTCCCAGAAAAGTATTTATTGGGTGGTTATTTCCATTAAAAGTATGGCAATTTTGGTATATATGGAAAGTAGAGATATCCAATCTTACTAGAAAAATACTGGATTCCCTGAAAAACACTCATGGAGTGCATACAGGACAAAAATGTTTGGGTTTCCCTAATCGACAGCCCGACGATTAGGAGTGTCTTCACGCATGCTGTTGAAGGTTGCACGCAGAGATTGAGTGCTTTATATACATGTTGATAAACTTTATGAAGAGTTAAACGTACATGTACAACACTTTCTGAGATAAAAAATCACCGAAAAAGACGCAGGCAGTGGATAATCCGAGAATTTAATTAGGATTCGATATTTGTAATAGTCAACGATTAAAGACAACATTGTCTTGTGTATGCAATGAATTCTCCTCCGATTTGCACACGTTGTGTCACGTGACACAAACATGACCTCTTTTGATCGATTTTTTATAGCCGGCTATTCGCTGACAATTGCAATGTTTTGAGAAGGATTTGAAGCAAAATTATAATAAATTAATTAGTTTGGATATGTTTTTAGTCCAAATATATCATCAAATGACCCAGTTTGTACCCAGGAATGTATCTTTAAGTGCTATTAGTAATTGATAAGCACATTAACAGAACACAATGGGAAATAATGACTGGTTTATTAATTTATATAGGCATAACCTTTCAATAAGTAAACAATAACAATTGTTTCCCACAAGAATTTATGTTCATTTAGTTAAACATGATAGTAACTCTTATTATTACAGTAACCCTTATGTAAAGGAAGTGTAAATTAAATTATAATCTAATCAACTTATATTTTAACTAATTATAATTAGGTAATTTGAACAATAGAATTATTTGAATCCTTTTGAAGTATTACCCTCTGTGTACCATATACTTGAAATAGTGTTACATGTAAATGGGTCATAAGTATTATTAAGAGCAGGAATTATTAAATTAGAGTAAATGAGAGAGGATGTACTTAGTATAAATTGATTTACTATAGTATAACTAGCGGATGTTTTTATTAAATGTTATCAGATTTGTTGTATATAGACTAGAGAATATTATTATTAAAGTATATGAATGCTATACAGTATGAAATTATTACAGGATGCCACCAAGAAGCTACCTATATACATATAGCTTATCTCTAAGATTTGTGATCAGGAAACAAAATCTTATCAAATGTTGATTGATGCAGTACTACCAAATTACATAGGCTTACTCCTTTTGATACCCATTCTCATTTGCCCGTATGGTGAAGAAAAGTAGTATTTTAAACCTTACTTCATTTTATTTTCCATTTGAAAATTTGGCAAAAGATGGAATCATGACTAAAAATATAACTGTTTGATCGAAATTTTAGAATGTTGCAAATTGTTAATAATCAGAAACATCTGCCAAGCTTTATTTAATATATATGTAGTAAAAAAACATGTAATCTGATGATAAGATTTTTTGAAGATTACTAAAGCAAAAAATGCTCAATATATAAATTGGATTTGTACAATCTAATCATAAATACCCTATGCATTGTATGTATTGCATTTACGTCAATTTCCGTATAATCTTTTAATTCGTATAATCTTTTAATGCATGTGTTCACATGTTTTATTCTATGTGGTCCAGTTAGACATCTAAGAATTAAAAAAAATGAATAGAGCTAGCGATAACATTATAGTAGACTACTTAAATTTGCCAAGACATCAAACTAAATGTACTTACAATTTGTGAACAACCATTCTACACATCAGTTGGAGTTCTTTACTGATTTTTTTCTAACTTGCAAGGATTGTTTATTGGGTCATAAGGAGGACCTCTGTTTAAATTCAGAATTGTTTGATTTGATTACATATCGCATAATTATACTATTAATGTCTACATGTACATTCAAATTTATAGAATCTTTTGAACACAGTACAGGTCACAGTTTGACAGTTAACGCTTGGGACAGAGTTCATTGTGCTTTTTGTTTTTTGGGTTTTTCGACAAAGACTTTAATTAAAGCTACCACACATCTTTGATGCTGGTGACAAGCCCTCCTCTACTTGTATGTTTGAATTATTTCAAGAAGGCAGTTTTGACTTTATAGTCACTTTCTATAAAAATAACCCCAACATATTATTTTCAATGTATTTGGAATTGGATGGAATATAAATCAGTTCTTTAAAAGGAATAATTTCTTGAAACCTGTTTAAATGTGTTTTTCGAGGACCAGTGATGCAGAAATTTCAATTTTCTTAACAACTTTGAAGCGATGAAGCATGCAAATTGCTAATATATATAAACCATTACTTTTTATATAACAGTTCAGTTGCTAGTGAATCATTATTTGTAGAAATGATGATAGATTGATTTATATCATCCAGATTCTTGGCTTTATCTGCTGTGTGAAATGAGTTGATAAAATGTTATGGTTACTGTTGTCTGGACTCCAGTTTAAAAGGATAAAAACATCAGATTCGTGATACTGAATGAGGTTGTGTAGAGAATAAAGACCTAAAGTCCTTCTTATTTTATATCAGTGTATCTGAGGATGTCCTTAAAATAGATTTAGGTTACTGTACCCATTTATAATATATACATCTACACCACCCCCTTCCAACTTCCAGATATATCTTCTAAGTTTAAAATTGTTTTATTACATTTATCAAACACAAATGTACACTGATGATGAATGCAATTGGAAAATAAAGTGATTATGACTTAATCTTATTGCGGCAGAATACTCCCCAAGTACTGCTACATGTATGCATATGCATATGAGTGTAATTACATGTTATACGATTCCACAATGTACCGTTTTTTTCCTCAAAATGCCTTCTGTTCTTCCTCACAT